TTACTTTGGATTAGAGCATAAATAAAAAAAATAGCAAGTACAAAAATAAAAAGCGGCGGGTCTATGGACTCGATCGGCACTGTCGGTCGAACGGTCTGCTATAGTGTCGGCAAAAAGTCTTGTTACACATTTTTCGGTCTCGCTTCCATCCGCTCAGAGCTTGTAACACGCGATAAGGAACTTCAACTTCATTCCAACATTCACTCCCATCCGCTCAGAGCGTGTAAACTTCGTTCCAACCATAAATCGTAACTCCAAGTTAATTTGATGAAGCAGCTATAATTTAATGTACTGCAGCGTACAGTAAATCAAAATTTTAAAAATAAATTTACACGACACTAATGGCATATATTATATGTAACAAACTGTGACTCAAAGTTTGATCTACAGCTGTGCAGATGGTACTAAACTTCTAAAACAGACAATAATAACATCAGCTTTCTAGAAAATACTCACTGTCATGAAATATACTTACATAAAAAACGCTGATTATATTGTTCTATTACTTTTTTAGTAACTACCTTCTTTTTATTACTGTGTGTACACCGACAGAAAAAGGTGTTTTCTGCCGGTGTACACACGTCTGGTTCTGCATTTTTATGTATGTCACATCACATCAACAGCCTTTAAAAATTCACTGCTGGACATAGGCCTCTTCTTAGAGAGGAGGTTTTGGCCTATTATGACACGCTGGCCAGACGGGTTGGTACAGCGTTTGTATCAAGTTTTCCTTCTCTTTGCAGTGCTGTTGTCCTGTATAGTTTACTCCCTTGGTCGACTTTTACGACACTCACGGGCTGAATAAGGGTGGTGACACTGCGTATTCTTACTCCGTCACTACACGGAAATCGTTTATGTATATTTATAGAGTTAATTTGATTTTTATGAACCTTTATGAACTTTTGACCTACTAAGTGTATTTATGACAAACCCGAATTTTCCTTTGAATATTTCAATAATTTATCACATGACGATTCCATCTCAAATGATTTCTACATATTAAACATGTTTATTATAGAGAATAGCAGCAGTTGTTATGAAATGAGGGGCCGAAATAAAACCAATGAATAAAAATTAAAATATATTTACACTATATACAAACACCGAAAAATATTTCGAATTACATGTCATCTACAATTACATAGTTACCGTAAAAATACAATGGTGCGCATAAAATACGTTGATAGTTGCTTATTATATGTTCCTATGAGATATAATAACTAATTCATCAATCAACAATAAATGGTATCCAGTAAATATTTACATTTCGAAACGATAAATCAGATGGTTTAATTTACACTTTCATGTAAAATAAATGAAATGGAACTTTTTCTATAACAATCTACTTATACAGAGCTATACTCATAGTATTAAATATTGTTACAAGTTTTTTCCAGTGCTTACAACATTTTATTTAGTATTTTTATCAATATAATGTGCGATGTAAGGAATTAATGAAGTCTTAATAAAACAATTTTATTTCAAGGAATATTTTCTTCAACAAACTCAATTTACTTAAAGTTCAATTTGACTTTCATATCCGTCATATTAAATTCGTTACTTTAAAAGAAAAATAAAAGGAAAACTTCTCAGAAGCATTACAATAATTTACGGAGCATACTTCAAAGTGTTTGACGCCCATCTCGTATGACAGTGGGCAAAACAAAGAAGTGCTTCCAATTTGCGTCATTCACGGTTGTATTTTTGTTGATTGTACCTATGTAAGAGAACAGTGACACAGGATACCACACAAGACTATTCAAAATTATGTATGTGTTAATTTTGTTCATACTTCGATACTTCAAAGTTTCAAGAAAAAAATCTCCTTCCTCAAAGGCCGGCAAACGCGCTTGTGACTCCTAAGTTGCAGACGTTCTTGGGCGGTGATAGTCACTTTAAATCAGGTGACCCGTCTTCTCGTTTGCCCTCACTATAAAAAAAGCTGACAATGCTCATATAGAAAATTTACATCGATTTTTTATATAATTATTAAGTAATGAAGGAAAATGAACGCACCCGTGAACACATACTTACGGATGTGCCTTTTCCCGATCATCGGCTGCGCGGTAAGCACAATACTAACGCACGCGACCACGGTACGCATGCGCGATACGATCGCGTAAGCCGGCGGTGACGTCGACCAATTAAGAGGCAGACACGCGTTCGTGAATGCGCCGGCTCACACAGTACAGGCTGGACAGACAGTTCAGTCACGGTACAATTATAATACAGTACTCCAACTTCATACAAACGAACGGACGGTGTGTTGTTTTTTTTAACAATCAGTTAATATGACGAGTAGGAAATATTGTGCTGTTTTTGGTTGTATGAATTCGTCAATAACGCATCCAGACATGAGGTTTTTTTAAATTACCTGGAAACTCTGAAAGGTAAGACTATAAAATAATTTTACTTACTAGTAGGTAGGTACATAATGTGTGTCTTTTTTATGGATAAGTATTTCCTTTTATCTTACGAAAAAAAAGGTGTTTGGATTAATAAATAAAGCGAATAGAGTAACGGAAAGTTATTGAGACGAGTGAAATAGGTAGTCATATGCGGTTCTGAATGAATCATGATACGGTAGGTACTTACCTACCTACTTACGCTTGTGTTAAAACTTCGGTGCATGTGTGTTTTATTACTTTGCATAATTCAAAGTAAAGACGTGGTATTTTATTTTTAATAATATTTGTTTATTATCTGTGTGTATGAATAATACTAGAATTTTTTTTACCGTCTGTGTGTCATTAGATAGTTTTCTAAATTGTCACAAAGTGTTTCTGCTGCTACTATAACAACATATACCACTAAAAACTCCTCTAATGCAGAAAGAAAATAAAATAATTAAATCTACCAATCAAAAAACTACACGCATTTTTATTGAACACTTCCTATTCAATATACAAAGTATTTCATTTATTTATATAAAAAGGATATTTACAATCACAAATCTAAATAGAAACAGAAAGTAGGCAAATATAATTAAAATGCTGGAGACGGGCAGCCCTAACGCATGTTAACGTACCGCGCGGCTGTAGGCATTTATTTCTATCATGCGGCCGAGTTACACTACTGTATTATAATAGTACCGTGGTTCAGTCGTTGCCCACACGCGCAGTGGTAGTCTAAATGTTCGATACCTACATACATTATAACTGCAAGATACGTGTATATAAGAAGTAACAATAAATAAGTAGCATCTATTATATTTTATCCAAAACTCTTTTACTTGACTTCCATTGGTTCATATTTAGTATTTCAAATTGTGACGCGTAGGTAAAAATCATCATAGATTTGAAGGAGATTGTCGTAGAAATAAAATTACAAATGATTTGTACTGCCTAATTTCGATTTCAATCTTTAGACGCTGAGGTGAATTGCTCTACACGCATTAAAGTTCACTTTAGAATAATACAAAAACATACAATGATTTAATAAACCCATTGTTATAGACGAATTTATTTAATTAGTGAATATCAAATACGGCCAAACAAAATTACGCAGTAGAATTCTGAACGGAACACTTAAATTACTACTAAATAATTTCGTAGAAACTCAGACGCAACAATCCGTTTTCACTGAAAATTTATTTGTTGACTGCAATTTCTCATTCCACTTGAATACCCTGGCTCAATCCCCCAGGGGATTGCACAACACTTACTATTCTACTTCCATCCCCTGTGCTGGAGACTCAACAAATACTAATAAATTTATTTCCTTTTTAGTCCCCTCTAAAAATAATAAAACATAGCTACTTTGACACACTTTAATTAAGCCCAATTGCAATCTAATTACTTTTACTTTTTTTGTACTGCAACGCCATAAAACCGCATCATTATTATATACTTTTTATCGGTGGTATTTGTATCTGTTATGTAATATTAGCTGACCTCTACGTTGAATTATTTAAAAATTTACTTTAGGTACTTTTAACTTTAAATAAATATAGAATAATACTCGTATATTATGTGCAAGACAATAAATTTATAAATTTACGACAGTTTAGATCTATCTGGCAATGTCAATCAATGTTACTTACTAGCCAGTAAATAGACCTTAATATGCGTTATCAATAACACTGGGGATCGGAGTGGAATGTTAAGTGTTGAGTTATCCTCTGGGGGATCGAAGTGGAATAGTAAGTACTGTTCAATCCCCTGGGGGATCAACCCAGGGGATTGAAATGGAACGTGCACACAATTTAAATTCGCTACACAAACACAAGTCTAGCTAAATTGAAAGGGGTTTTCAAGAAAACTATGTAGGAACGGCAATCCACATTTATATTTATATACACATACTATATGCTACAAAAATAGAACATAAAAAGCTTTGTGAATATACTCGTATATTCACAAAGAACTTGCCAAAACTTTGAATATATTTAAAATGACAACTGACTAAATTTAGTAAGCGTAATATCCATTCAGGCATTATATGTCGGTGACCCGACTATCTTACATCTATTGACAATTTAGAGATAAAGTAATCATAGTTATCTTGTATCTAATGACTAGATTAGCAATTCGATAGCTTTCAGACGATTTTCGATTGACATCGTTTTTGTTTAGTCTACTTACAACTTTTCAAATATTAGTTAGTCATCGTAAGTAAGAAATGTAAGCCTAACACGTACGTTTAGTGAAAAACTTACGTAATGTACACTATAATTTATTTAATAAGAATTTTCCACCTTACATGCTTGGTGCGTAGTCAATTGAACGTCTAGAGGCAGAAATAAATATAAATACATTGATTAATTTTGAACATAACACAAAGTAATTGTCAATGTCGGATTATTTTTGAGCATTAATAAACGAATATGTTATAAGCTACGATTGACGCCTTCGATCTATGCAACACACAGCTTTCTTAAGATTTTCAGCAAAACCACACTTCTGAATTTGGACCTCTTCTTCAAATATGTTGCTTTTAGTTTTGTTCACTTGTGTGTCAGTCTTGTCCCGCTGGCCTGTATTATCTAGTTCCTGGTCGGATCACGTATCCGTCCCGGGATATTTTACAATCAGATCTAGTTCTTCTTCGTTAGGTTTTACTGCCCGAACCTCAGTGTTTCCTTCAACTGGTACATAAATCTTTGGCCGATCAATTTTATTTTCAATGTTCACTAGCACATCAGCAACACAGTGATGATTTGTAGGAGATTTTAGTTCAGCATCACCACTGAACCCTGATTGATGGGCTTCGTTGTCTCCATTGTTGTTCTGTTTATCTTTTTCTATTTCGGCTTTACTATCTTCCTCTTCGCTGTTTTCTTTGCCTTCTAGTATCATTTTGTGTGTAGCTTCTTCAATCACACTGTCTGTTGGTGCTTCGTTAATGCAGGAATGTGTCAGAATGAAAGGTAGCTTGAGTGATAGATCTCCACCCATAGCGCTGAATGTAAGCTTCACTTTGACGTAGTAAGATACATATATGGCAAATACGTTTCTGTCTTCTGGTGTGTTGTTGCATATAACAGTGGAAGCGAGACTGGCACCAGTCTTTGAATATGAATCTTCAAGGGCTATCCAGTTTTTCGTTATTCCTGTAAAGAAAATAATAGATTTCAATATAGCACTGCACCTAAATTGGCCTTGATATCTTCTTCAATTAAACATAGTTCTATTTTTTTTCCTTACCTCTGTGTGGTGTGACGATGTATGTATCGGTGTGAGTCTGACCAGGCATAACGGTATCACTACCTTTAACAAGGGCTACGACATTCTTGAACTTGCCATTGGAAAACATACAGACATCCACATGTTGAACCACCAAGACCTAAACAAAAACAAAAAGATTAATTAAGAACAAAAAGTAGACGACCGGATGGCGTTGTGTGTATGTTGCAGAAAAAAAAAAAAAAAAAAAAAAAAAAAAAAAAAAAAAAAGTAATGTAGTAATTATTGTCATAGAATAAAAAAATATACAATTTCAAAATCATATTTGACTGGTTATCATCGTATAATTAAATAGCTTTCAAAGGTGAATAATTTAAAGTTCGCCAATGTTTATTTTAATTATCTTTTTAACTAAATCGGTATAACATAATTCTTTTTAGCGCTTTGGTTTATTAAGTCATAGTCATCTCAATGTGTGGTGTGTGAACCCTGGTTGATAGATGATATTGAAAATCATCAATAACTGTTTATTTTAAGCATTCTATTTGAAAAATAACCTTGTAGGAGTCTACTGTGGTAGATCAATAAGCAATCCAAAACTCATTAACATTTTGAAAGCCATTGTAATAAATTCGATTCTCAGAGTTTATATCGTTAGCGACAAGTGCCTACTTTCCAGATTTAAGAAAATAATAAAGTAATATTTACAATAACATGGTATCATTATAAAAACATTTATCAATATCTTGTAGGCTTTTTACTGAAATATTGTAAAATATTTTTGCACTAAATTATTCTAAGTTAAACACATCGTTCGTGTTTCTTTTGTTTTCTTGTGTGAGAAGTTTATAGTCTTGATATTATGCCAAAGTTTGTTTAAAGTTATATAGTTACCAACAAAATGTTTGATTAAATTTTGTTGAGATTACAATGGGTGAGAGAAATTTAACCACACTCGGTCGGCCCACCCGCGGCTCCGCATGCGTAAAAGTTATTTTGTTTATTTCTTTTTTCTTTGGCCGAGAGATAGCAAATATATATACAAAATTTTATGATAATCTGTTCAGTAGTTAAGGCATGAAACGTAACAAACTAACCAAGTCATATTTGTATATATTTTTTTATAATTAGTGGCAAAGCAGTAAAATATAATGTTTAGACATTTCAATCTTTCAATGTTAAAATGAAATGATACTTGTTTACTATAACAAATTTATGATACTTCTTTATGGCAAGCGAACACAAAGGTCACCTAGTTAGTAATGGCAATGGCACTTGAAAATGAGATAGTTTAAAAAGGTCACAGGATCTAGGTATTTAATATAAGCGGGCTCTTCAGTCTTCAGAAGCCCTATTACAACAAACAATATTATTTTTAATAGACTTATTACATTTGACAAATTGAATTGGCTAAGTGGAATTAAAACACATATTCGAATGAGCATTTTATATTAATATCATTAATATCCCAACGTTAGCTCCTAAATAATTTAGAATTCAGAGAACTAAATACAATAAATATATATTTTATACAAGTTGTTTTCTATAGTATTTTAGTGTACCTTAATCCGTCGCACAGTTTTCGAAGAGTGATTAGCAACGACGACGCCGACTCTGATGGATTCCCCATGAGAATAACTTGGTTTGTCTAACCAAGCTTCTAGTTCCACCCTGGTAAACATAGATATGAACAATTCAGTAAAGTAGCTCTTTAAGAGTTTGTTACAGAACTGGCAAAGTAAAGACAGAAGATTTTAAAATGCAATAACGATATATAGCAAGCAAACAGTTTGATTATTTAGTTTAAGATTTCATTTACGAAGAAGAATTTTAACAAGTTTCAAAGAAATTGAAAATGAGAAGCGATACAGAAGAGTTATAATTAAAAGCTCGCATTAATAACTGGTTATCATAATTAAATGAGTAATAGTAAACATAATGCAGTAAAATAAAACTGTAAGATTAAAAAGTAATTAGAGAACTGCTATAAAATAAATAGCCATAGCATAGAAGGTTCTTAGTTGTAATTTTTTAGTAACCTTGTAATCTTTTGTGTGAACATTTAAAGTCGCATATAAACAGTAATTGTAAAAGCTTCTTGTTTTATATTGTCATGAGACATTATACTAATACCTAACATCTGAAACCTTTGGGAAATCAACGTTTGCTAGGAGTACACTGAATTCAAAGAGAACATGAAGATGTACTCCTAGTGGTTGTATATACTATTTATAAAATTTAGAATTCAATAGTAGTTTTGTTAATTTATAACTGTAAAATGCATTTCACCGAAAAGTGCTCGTGTATTTTAAATGAAGGTGAAATAAATTATACGAGAAGGTCTACATGTAAGGTAAATAATCCACTGAAATAAAGCTTCGTAATCTCACCTTCCATCAGAAAGTAGAAAAGGTTTCTCGACGGTAGCTCGGGGCGGCAGTACCTCTGAGTTTTCTGAAACAAGTCACGCTCTCAAATACAAAGCTTTGGGAGTTATTAAACTTTATTTCTACATGACACCTCGATATGTGTCACCGAAAGTAAATTTTGTAATGTATTTACCGACGTTGTGAGCTTTTGAGCTGTTTAAAAGTGACAAAATATTTTATGCAATTATGGGAATAGATTACAAAGTAGATCAGAAATGAAAATTTTATCTAAATCGCAGAGATAGGAATACTTTTTGTTAAAATAGGTTTTTATTGCTTTAGAACAATTCTAGGTGTGAATTAATTTGTATGTTATGGCGTGTATGCATTAAAATTAGACAGGCCTATTGGTATAACGTTGAGCGCTTCTGAATCTAGCAGTCGGTTGCTCCATATACCGTGAAAAAACCACCAAAACTGTAGTGGCTGCTTACCTGCTTCTTCCCTCTTTGGTCGGCAATTTTCATCAGATTCCACCTTAATTTTGCTTTTCAACCTGCAACAATAAAAAAACTTTGTTGTTCTAAAATTCAATCGACTACAATAAAGTTTAATTTTCATCCCAGTTAAGTTTCTTAGAATTTTGTAGCGGGTTCTTAACAATTCGACGAATTCAAACATAAATAATTTCATCTACCAAGATTAAGTGTCAAGGTACCTTCTTCTTTTATATTTTTTAAATATTGATGAAGACAAAAAAGTTCTTTTAAATTATGTTTGAAAAGCGGTTGCTTATGCCAACAGGCGCCAAATAACAAAATCGGCGCCAAAAAAGCAAAAAACAACTTCTACTTCAACTGAAATAAAACTGACGGGCCTGTTGGTTTAATGGTTAGTGACCCTGACTGCTAACCCGGAGGTCGTGCGTTCAATTTTCACCCAGTACAAATAAATGTGTGATAGGCACGATTATTTGTTATGTCTCTCGGTGTAATTGAGGTATAATACAGGCTCCCTAGTTTGGGGTCAGAATGCCGTATGTTACATCACATCAATTCAATTTTTTTGTCCAGCATGTTACACGTGGAAAAAAATCATGGAATTTGGACTGGTACTGTTTGTAAAACTGTTATTAGCGTAAGCTCGGTTATAATTTTAATGAATGTCTACTACACTCCTAATTGAAATGAAAATGAAAATGTGAGTATTTGTTTGTCCCAACTTTTATGGTTTAACTCGTGAATCTAGTGACTAGTGACCAACATAAGTTAAATAAAGGACGTAGGTTAGTTACCCTACGTTCGTCCAGAAAGAAAGTACTGTTTCTGAGGGATGTAAAAACAAAGAATAGGCGTCGACTTCGACGTAATAATCAAATGCGTTTTAGTATCCCGGTATATTGTTTAGTATAGAGTAAAACATATGTATTGTATATATTATATGTATAAACATATGAATTGTCTTGTATATGTAGAGATTTTAATTTTATTTCATTTTGATTGTAATGCTTTAAGCCCATCCCGATTTTTATTCAATTTTTAATAAAAAACGGGTAATTTTAAAGTTATTATTTTACTGACCAGTCCCTGAATTTCATCTTTTCACTTTTTGATAATATTCTTATTCGATGTTTCAAATAGATCTTGCTGTATTGTTGTTATTGATATAAATAAAGGGTTTGAAATTTAAACTTGCATTCCTGAATCCTGTTAATGCGGTTTTTTGTTCTTTTGCTACTATGTGCACAACACGGACAAACTAAACGATCAAATTGTGTACAAACGCTATTTAAACGTTGTATATTTTTATTTACAAATAGAGTTTTAGAAAATGACAGTAAATTTGACAGCATAAAATCTAGAATTCAGTAAATTAGCGTAGAGGTTGAATTAAGTAAAAAGCATAAAGCAAACTAAGATTTTTTCTGCATACATCTCTGACCGAGACTGTGAACTGCCCCCAGGTTGCCAGGATTGGCCCCAATGTTCTTAGATTGAACGCTAGGTCTTTTACTTCTGTAGACCTAATTGCACAATTCAATTGCATTATTATTTGCTGCCTTTCAACCTTATAACAATATAATAGATAACAGTGCCTCGAATCAGAAGAACTGTATTAGATATAAGACATGTAAGCTCATAAGAGTTGCTCAATTTAATTTTGTAAAAATTTTTTTGACAATAATTTCTAAGGTCACATTGTTTTTTGTTATATGTTATTGCAGGTTTGTTGGTCCATGTTGTGCCCACCTATGAGTGGTGAGATGCTTAGTCCTAACATCTATACTTGTTTGTAAAAACATAATAGTAGAAATTGCCATTGGTGGCCTAAGTAATAAAAAATGAAGAACAGATACTTTTACTAATTCTACAGACTTTTACCAATAACAGTTAGAATGAATATTTTGAATTTCATTGTTAGCACAGCATTTTGTTTGGAATCAAGAGCTTGCTAGTCGCGTGAGAATCAAACTGGGTTCGCAGTTGGGGACAAGAAATTTTGAGTGTCTGAATTCCAGGACACGAAATGGCTCACGTCCCAATTTTCAGGACATTTCGGAATATCGAACAAAGAAATATTTTAGATACAAGACGTCTAAGTAAAGTTTAAGTGTCAAAAGTATTATGTTAGTTAGGAAGGTTTAAAAAACAGAAAAGTAATATCCGTTACGGTCTTAAGCAACACTCATAAACGACCTGATTACGTCAACCCGCACGAGGGACTGCAAGTACAACGTGACAACGCGCTGCTACTCGAAACGCAGTGGCACCGATGAACTCGGTCACATCGATTCCAGACTCGATTAGGGTCACTAGTTTAATACATAATAATACATAAAATACATAATAAGAGATAAAAGTTTATTTCTAACAAATTTTTGTAATGATAAAACAAAAGTTGTTTTTTTTTTCTATAGATGACAAAAATGAACAAAAGTGTATCGTGAAAATATATCGAATGGAAATAATCGCCATATTTGAAAAGGATTAAAATACAACTTCTCCTCTTCCGTTTTGAAGTGTATTCTACAGAACTTTAGTATAAATAAATCATATAGGCTTTGATAAATAATCTGAATGACCCAGTAGACACCTCCAGTCCACCAGGACATCAATATCGTAATTACAAGGTTGTCACTTTTTGCTGCAAACTGTTATCAGTTGACTCCTGAAAGTTTATTCAGTCTGATACAATCCGATTCGATACGCTGTAAAGTATTGTTTGAAGAAACTTCTCTGTATTTTCCTCAATAAATGTGCTTTTTCAAGGTCAATTTCATAACACGTGACTGGTGCGTCAAAGTTACCGCTTACCAAAAGTGAACCCATACGCTTGATAGCAGCCTCTGTGCCATAAAAAATCTGTAGATCACAATTTATGTTAGACTATAATTAAGAAATAAAATTATAGAACTTGACACTTAATAAAAGTTTTTCTTTTTTCTTTTTTTAAAAGTCAACTCACGCATTAGGAATAATATCCTGTGTCGCAGGGGACTTTACAAATATACATGAAATGGACACGAACAACACCCAGACTCAGAACAACAATTTGTGGATCACACAAAGTGGTGTCCCGTGTGGGGATCTAACCCACAACACTCAGCGCAGTAGGAAACGACGGTAATTTTAAATAGAAACTGGCTCGAACTTTACCCAAATTTATTTTCTGATACAACATTTAATAATCACTATTGAGTATCTTTAAAGTATATTAATAATTGCCAGCTTAAATTGACGATACAGAACAAACTTTGGGTTTTATAGAGGTAAATAAAAAGCGTTCTGCTCCAATTTTGGTAATTCTGTTTGATCAAACTCCAGTTTATTCTTTTATGTTCTTTATTTTGACAATTCGAGACAAACTATTTAGATGCAAGTTGTTTAAAACATTCAATATGTCGTGCTGAATTAAAAATAATACAATTCTTAGCAATTATTCGATGAAGAAAGAAAACGAACCATCACTTAATTATAAAAGAGTCTTTTGAAAAGGTTTGTTATGAGCAGATGTTGACAGAGAAAAATCCGCGTTGACCGCTGTGAAAGCGTTTTCGAAGGCAATGAACTTCGTCGCAACTTAAAAAAGGTTTCGCATGCATAACTTTGAGACATGGCCTTTATTACAAATTCTTGAATAAAAAAAGGTTTCTTATTAGTGGACTGTAAAAAGTTATTGTTTGGTTAGTTTACCATCAAATTTATAGCTGTTGCTAAAATAATATTAACTTATGTAATATTGCTTTATATTTTAGCACGTTCCATATATTAGTTTGTGCAAAAAAACATAATATTAATAATAAACTTGAGACATCTCACACATGGCCGTCTGATCGCAAACTAGAGACAGAACCTGTACTATGTTAACCAGACTGCAGATACACATATAGGCAGAGACATTTATATATTTCTAAATATCATATATAAATGTTGACTGCACGGATGGCGTAGTGGTTTAAGCGGTCGCTACGCCCCTTACTACTGCACTCAGTGTTGTGGGTTCGATCCCCACATGCGACGACACTTTGTGTGATCCACCAAGTATTGTTTTAAGTCTTGGTGTTCTTTGTGTCCGTTTAAAGTATGTTTATAAAGTCCCCCGCAACACAGACAGTACCGTCTTTTCCATAAGGGCACACGGGGGCCCCAAAAAAGCGAATAAATATACTTTTTTTTTCTGTTTTAGGAGCTCGCACGGAGTTGGTGGTAGTCAACGGCGGGAATCTGACTGCTGATCGGTATATCAGGGAAATTTTAGAAGGACATGCTGTTCCATTTGCCCCCCTTATTGGCAACGACTTCAATGCAGAATAATGCTCGGGCTTACAGTGCTCGCTCAGTACAGGCATGCCTAAACCATGTTAATATAACGGTGATGGAGTGGCCAGCACGGTCCCCGGATATGGATTTGGGACTGTCAAATCTACAATGCCACCTCCCAACAATCTGGGCGAGTTGCGAGACGCATTACTTGAAGAATTACAGAGGTTGCCCCAAGATATCATTGACAACATCATCCTGTGGGGGGGAACACTCGACATTTAAAATTCATTTAATTAATTATAAACCGTCACAAAATCTTAAATTTTTAACTGTTTCTCTGTCATTACGAAATCTAAGAAAAATGCATTTGGTTTGCTTTAGTTTTTTTTTATTAAAATTTAAGGATGACGTAGCAAGTTAATGTTAAAACGTGTTTATTTCATTGTTGTTTCATGTTTAAAAATAAAATTAACTGTTTTATACTCCTCCTTTTTTGTGTGCCGCTAATTCTGCCGGCGTGTGTATTAATGCATTTTATAACAAAACATACACTTACTGTTGTATGATATTCCTGTATATTTATTTATCTTTTTATCGTAATTTGTACACTTTAGGAATACACAGAAAGGGATTGTATGAATTTTCTCGAATTAATTAGTAGGTACGTGCGCTTGCTCGCAATGGTCCTAATTAGGACCCTCGTGTTTTTGCGCTGGTGATGTATCTACCTCTTGTTTGTATATGTTTAATATCATTGACTTTACTAAGATATAACTGAAGTTTTTGCACATTT